ATATATATATATATATATATATATAAAAGACAGATTTGAATCTAAGTTCTGATGTTTACTATTTTGTTTAGGATCTTAGTTTTCTGTGTGTCTTTTCAACTTTCTGTATGTGGGGGACATACCTTTACCTTATGTATCTCATAGCCTATTTACAAAATTAAAAATAATGTATATGCAAAGGCTGTTTAGGGAAAGCTGATGCAGAAAACTGTATGAGTAAAACTTAGTGGAACCTGAGAATGAGGAAGAAGAAAGGAAGTACAAGAGGAACATATCCATTGTTAAAAATGAAAAATGATCTAATTCTGGATCTCAAAGAAGGAGTCAGGTGTTCTTTCAGCATCAAAGTCAAAAGACACCAAAATAATGGTTAGGAACTGGGAGTTTTTTGAATGACTACTGTGGAATTTTCCTGATCTACTTTAGTGAAAGGTGATCGAGAGCCTGCCTGCCAAATGCAAGGTCCTGAGTTTGATTCCTAATAACACACACACACACAAAGATAATGAATGTGAAACAAAATATTCATATTTGGGTAAAAGAAGTTTCAGCTGTCTAACAGCAGCTGGGACTGCCTTCTCTAACTGCTTAGAGTGTTTAGCTTGTTTGTTTTTCGTCTATGTCTCTAAGGAAATGATGATTACCACCACTTTACTTTTTAAATTTAATACTGAGTTATCACAGAGGGACGTCATTGCTGTGGTTTTGATTTTTATTTTCTCCCAGGAGAATACTTGGAATTAAATAACTCTTGGAAGATTGTTCACAAGAAACTGTGAACAGATTAAAGCCCGTGATCCAATGGATCTCAGTTCGTTAGTATTGCTTTGCTTGAGGCTGAGGCACATCTTTGAAGGAAACTTGTTAGCAGAGGTTACTTCTCTTGCGAGGAAAACGAGCAAATCGGGAAAGTAGTTCCGGCACTCGTTCACGTCAGTGGGAAGGAAGCTTGTAGGGCTGACTCCGGTCAGGACTCTGTTAAAGCAGTTTGTTTTTGCTTTTCCAATACTAGTTTCCTTTGCTTTTCTAGATCATCAGATCTGATTCTAGAGCATCGAAATCAATGGTTAAATGAGGGGAGCCCGAAAAAGTAACATAAATACAACCAAACTGAAAATATTATGTAGTTCCTGCTTTGAGAAACTTTCCACTTTTTCATCAGACAGATACCTGCATTTCCTCTTCTGGATTTATTTGCAATGCACCCGGTTTTAAATGCTTCCTCTTAAGTTCATACTCAGTATATTCTAAGAAGAAGGTACTAAAGTCAGTCGTGACGACTAGATGTCTTCTTGAGAGCATACATAGACGCTCACACAGAACCAGCAAACTACAATTCATTGTTCTAGATGCCCTCAATGTCTGTATGCTACAGGTCAGACTAATTAATAGCACATCTATTGAAACTTTTTTCAACTGAATGGAAAATGATCACTGCAGTGTCAAGTCAAAGACTTGGGTTTAGATGTCAAATAAAGGACAAAGTCTGTAACTCTGCAATCTTACATAGAGTCAAATTCTGAGTCGGATTTTCTCCTGCACAATACTGACCCAACACTGTAAATTTCATAGATTGTTGTAAAGGTTAATAGAGATAGTTTAAGAAAAGTGTTCTGATTATAGAGTAGCAGCTGTTTCTCGGTAGGAATAAGACGAGCCATAGATTACCTCCTTTTGAAATATTGACATATGATCTGGGAAAACAGATATAGAGTCACTGTTAATTTAGATACAATGTGATAAACACTCCCAGAGGAGATACATATGCAATGTGCTATAGAAAAGATAAACAGATGGCTTTATTGTTTCTAGAAGGAACCTGTACCTGAAGCTATCTATGTCAGTTCTTGAAGGATCAGAAGTGTTCCTAAAAGAAAGGCCATGCAAGTATTTCAAGTAGAAAATGTTGGTCAAGCATTTCAAGTAGAAAATGTAGAAGGTCATTGGTTATTCTGAATCCTCATTAATACATTCTTCATAAATGTATTGTAGCACATACTGATACCACATGGTGTATTTCTTACTATAACCAGCTTGCCTTGTGTCTGTTCCCTTCCTTAAGGTGAGGATTATGTGTATTCGTTTTTTTATTTCTGGGATCTTGCATAGGCTGTGGCACATGGTATATACTATTGCACAGTTGTTCTAGAGAGAACCATACAGGCCACTGTTATGGTTGATATATTGTGTCAACTTGGGGAGTCTAGAGATTTGGCTAAGTGACTCAGCAGGAAGCCAGCGTGCTTACTTTGTATACATCCTGAGCCTGTAGAAGAGGAGGGCATGGAGATTATGTGAGAGCTACATGCCCCTTAGATGGGGGTAGCCTGTTTACAATGTAAGGCAGGGAAAGAAGCTGCTGGCTGCCATTCCTCCCTTTTGCTCTGGCTGTTTGCTGTTCAGCTGCCATTCCCCCCTTTGCTCTTGTTGGTTTGCTACCTTCTGCCTCAGAGCCAGCCAAGCATGGACTGAAACCTCCACAAACTGTGAGCCGAATAAACCTTTCCTTCCTTCATTTTGGGTGTTGGGTACTTTATCTCAGCAACGAGAGAAAAGTAACCAAGACAGCCACAAAGGTCAGAAGAGGGAAGCTGTGCTCAGGAATTCCTGATGGTACTGTTGGCCAAACGATTTGTAGTAGAAGCCAAATTAGGAAGGGGCATTGGTGTCATGTTACAGATGGAAAGTAAGTCATGTAGGTGTTAGCTGCTATTGACAGTTCTTAACCAGAGGGAGTAAAATACTTTATGAAAGCAAAGAAACTATGAAATATAATCTTTAATTTAATTAAATTACTCCTTTGCTGAGTTTGAAGATATACTGGATCAATTGACAAAGCTCTGCTTTTAAATTTTTTCAATAACTCAGGGTGAAAGAGCCTAAATTATGCTTAGTTGTTTTACTTTGTATCAAAATGTGGGGTGGATTATTTGGACTAAATTTTTGGTATAGAAATATTGCATTAATTTTTTAAATAGGACAACTATAACTGATGGAGGAGCACAAATCCAAATTGGACTTTCATGAGGAAGCAAGCAGTAAGGGACAAAAGGCACATCTGCAATGGTATCCAAGGTGGACTTTAATCACACCCTTTGCTCTCGTATAAGATGGCGATGGTGATAATTTTCCTCCTGCAGTTCTAAATCCTTCAGGTGTTCTCAGGGTGCACATAACTAACAAAGCTAAAACATTCACCACAAGCATTTTGGGTCCAGAAAAGATTTTAGCAACTTTTCTTTTTGTGTTGTTTCTTAAAGACTAAAACATTTGGTAAAATTCTCCTTTTTTAGATGGTATTTCTGTTCTACTTTGTGGCAGAAAGAATAATGATTATTGTTACAGTGGTGTTTTGGGAATTGCTATTTTTGTAGTTGGTTTTAGTCTCTGACATTTAGACATCACATGCACCGTGCAAAGGACTGTTTTATAGGTGAGAGAGTCCACGTACAAAACCGTCACATGTGACACTGGTTGTGGTCATTTCCTTATAACCAGTTCAGCAATAGGAAACAACCTAGTGTCATTTAGGACAACTGAGTGCACACATAATTTTTTTTTTTTTTTCTGTTTTTCTTCTGGTACCAGAAATCAAACTCACGACCTTGCACTTGCCAGGCAGGAGCTTTGCTGCTGAGCTAAATCCCCAGCCCCTTGTACACATAATCTGAAAGGAGTAATTAGTGATGTTGCAGCATTATTTTTACTTAGTCATTTATGAGATTTTAAAGGATTGAGACTATCAAGAATCAGAGTAACCCAAATCTGAGACAGAGGAATCTGAAAAGACAGTGAAAAACTTTTGCTAGATGCTGCTTGAATATATTGTTTTGCTTGATTTATTGAAGCATGACCTAAAGTTCTAAACAGTTGTTCCAATTTGAGAATGGTTCAATTATACACATATTTACATAATATATATTATTTACTTACATAATAAATATTTGCATAATGATATTTACATAATGGTAGACTCAGAAGCAGTATTAGAGACCAAATTCATATGGCTTTCTACTACAGGTATTGCCTTTAGGCTTCTGTCTGACATTTGGTCATCTAGTTTCTGACTATGATGGAAGAATTCACCTTTACCACTGCATGGGTGAATTAATTCCACTTTTGGAAAACTTGATCTGTGAAGAAAGTTATTTTACAGTATGGAGAGAGAAATATCAAGCCTACAATAATGGTTACATTTGGATGAGGTAATGTAAAGTCAGGGATTACATAAGATATTTAAAAAGAGCTCCTGTTTTAACATTTAATCTTTTAAACTTAATTTTCATATATTGAACATCTAATTCAATTAGATTTAAAGTAGGTCAATTTTTCTGTTGATCAAAATCATTCTCCATTTATTTTCTATACTTCATATAAAAATACACATAAACCAGGTATGGTGGAGCAGGGCTATAATCCCACAATTTGGGAGGCTGAGGCAGGAGGACTGTTAGTCTGAGGCCAGTTTGTGTTACACAGCAAGATCAAGACTGGCCTGGATTATATAGCAAAGCCCTGCCTCGAAAAAGTCAAACTAAACCAAACCAAATAAAAACAAAACCTCACGAACTCTACAGATAAAACTATGCCCAATTTAAAATAATAGCTTTTCAGATGTGTATAAATAATTATAGTTTCCCTCAAAAATATTTCCAAAATATATTTTATTTTAATTTAACAATTCTTTGTAACTATCATAACAAATATTTGCTGAGTAAGACACGATTCTCATAAACATTTATGTTTGACAAGATGGACTTAAAAGCAGTTATCTAAATATCCCAAAAATCTGTCTCACACAATCTCTCAAAAGATGAGAGTAAACTTACGCCTGGGAAAATCAGAAATTTCACCAGAAAGTGACAGTTATAAAAGTCAGTTAACTAAGGCAAGAACAGTGAGAATGGAAGGGAATATTTCCAAAGGAAGGTTCTAAGAGATAGCAGAAATTCGTGACTGGGTAAAGAGAGATGGAGGAAAGGAAGAGAGTAATATGAGCACTGGATGACATCAATTTGGGGCTCATATATGAAAGAGCCTGAACCAAAAAAAATGTTAGCTAATTGCACTTTGGTTAAAACGCAGAAGTTTTAAAAGGGAGCACTGTAAAAGTTTCTTTCTCCCAGTGCCTTAGTTTGTATTTCCATAGGCAGGGGCTAGTTTTTATAATTATTTTAGAAACAACTCTACTGAAGTGATATAATATATCTATAATAT